AATCCACGTTCTTATCTAATCCCCCATGATCTCATCTAATCCACGGATCTTATCTAATCCATGATTTATACTAATCATGATCTTACCTGAATCCATGATCTCATTAATCCATGATCTTATCTAATCCACGAATCTCATCATAATCCATGATCTCATCTAAGCCATGATCTTATCTAATCCATGATCTCATCTATCACGATCTTATCTAATTCCATGATCTTATCTAATCATTCTCATCTATCCAGGATCTCATCTAATTCCATTATCCTTATCTAATCACGATCTTATCTAATCCATGATCTCATCTAATCCACGATCTCATACTAATCACTGATCTTATCTAATCCATGATCTCATCTAATCCACGATCTTATCTAAGCCATATCTTATCTAATCCATATCTCATCTAATCCATGATCTCATCTAATCCATGTCTTTATCTAATCCACGAATCTTATCTAATCCATGATCTCATCTTAATCCTATGATCTCATCTAATCACGATCTCATCTAATCCATGGACGTATCTAATCCACGATTTATCTAATCCATGATCTCATCTATCCACGATCGAAATCTAATCCCATGATCTCATCTAGCCACGATTCATCAATCCACGAATCGTCATCTATATCCATGATCTGCATCTAATCCATGATCTTATCTAATCCACGATTCTTATCTAATCATGATCTATCTAAATCCATGATCTCATCTAACCACGATCTTATCTAATCCACGATCTTATCTAATCCATGATCTCGTCTAATCACGATCTCATCTAATCATGATCTCATCTAATCCATGATCTTATCTAATCCACGATCTTATGCTAAGTCATGATCTCATCTAATCCATGATCTCATCTAATCCACGCATCTTATCTAATCCATAATCTCATCTATCCATGATCTCATTCTAATCCATTATCTCATCTAATTCCACCGATCTTATCTATTCCATGATCTCATCTATCATGATCTTATCTAATCCACGATCTTATCTAATCCATGATGCTCATCTAATCCACGATCTCATCTAATCCATGAGGTATCTAATCCATGATGCTTATCTAATCCACGATCTTATCTAATCCATATCTCATCTAATCCATTGATCTCATCTAATCCACGATCTTAATCTAAGTCCACGATCTTATCCTAATCCATGATCTTATCTAATCCATGAATCTCATCTAATTCCACGATCTCATCTAATCCACGATCTCATCTAATCCATGATCCCTTATCTAATCATTGTATCTCATCTAATCACATCTTATCTAATCCCCGAATCTCATCAATCCATGATCTCATCTAATCCATGATCTTATACTAACCCATGATCTTATCTAAGCCACGATCTTACGCTAATCCATGACTCATTTAATCCGCCGAGCTCATCTAATTCCACGATGCTCATCTAAGTCCACATCTTACCTAATCCATAATCTCATCCTAATCCACGATCTATCTAATCACGATCTACTAATCCATGATCTTATCTAATCCACGAATCTTATCTAATTCCATGATCTCGATCTAATCCACGATCTCATCTAATCCATGATCTTATCTAATCACTCTGCTAGATTATCGGGTGCGTCGACTACACACAGAAGCATGGTTCCATCGAACGTGATTGCATCTAACAGACGATTAACTATCGGCTAACGCTCCAATTAGGAGTGTTCCCAACATTTGATATCATTAATGTAATGATTAGATGATGATAATCCTTAACCCTAACCCTAACGCGCAAATATATTAAACACAAACTAATATATGACCATGACCATATATAATATATATTATATATATATATATAAGTATGTTATTCATGACCATTGAAGTGAGCTCTAAGAGTATGAACATCCAGATATGAGGATGGATGCGACGCGTGATACACGTGTCCCACCAACAGCGGTGATGCTGTAACGCCAGGCAGATTACGAGACTAGAGACTTGTAATGCGACTATTGATACGAGGCAAATCAAGTTTCTATGATAACACATCGCACATTCGTGCTTCTCTGTGTTACAAAATTCTACCATTTGGATATACGAGGCAACAATACTTCGCATGATACCATATCCACATTCGTCGCGTGCTTCCTCGTGCTTACCACTTCTGCCAAATTACAAAAGAGCATCCCTGCGAGATGAATCCAATCACGCTCCGATACTAATCAAACTATCATTATCAATACTCCTTATGTGAGGATTGCTCTGTCCTACGCGTGAACTTGCCAGCTCTGCCTTGTGAAATGATGGAGATGAGATGATATATTGACTTGCGAATGAGTAACAACCCGACCTGTAAATATCCACCCAGCAGGAAGAAAAACTAGCGAGAATTTATCATACGACGAGATACTGTTTTATTGATCCCACAGCACGCGACGAGCATGCACATATCTGTATTTCCCAAGTTTTTATTATTTATATTTTTCAAATTTTTTATATTCTATATTTCTGATGCAAATGTCTCTTTCAGGTGAACATCTACCTGCACAGTGATTAAACACCTTTTTCAGGTGAGACGTTACCTCGCTGATTTGCGAGGTGGATAGTCACCGGAAGATTGCCACGCACGCATCGAGCTGCCACGCACGCACGCACGCACACCACGCACGCACACCACACACGCACCCACAACACACACAGCACACGCACATACGCACGCACGCAACCAGTAAAGCAACTAGCCAGTAGTAAGCTCAATGATCAAATCGGGGTGAAGGTGAATGTGCGCAGGTGTCACGATCACATAGGTGTTAAGTCGCTATAATCACATATGGTGTAAGTCGCTATAATCACATAGGTGTGCAGTCGCAGCGGCAGTGCACGACTCACGCCCTCTAGCGGCAATGAACACCGATCGTGATCACACGACAGTTCAACGATCGCAAACACACACGCACGCCGCACACGTACACATCGCACGCACACACGCACGCACGCCACGTTTCGACCGAGCACCCACCTTTGGGGCTGACACCCATTTCAATGCAGAACCCCATCTGCCAGCTGCACACCTATGTTCGAGTTGAACACCATTGCAAGCGAACAGTTTTCAGAGGCTGTTTGCAACAGTTTGCAACACACACGCACCACGCACGCACGCACGCACGCACGTTTCGACTGAGCACCCACCTTTGGGCCTGATCACCCATTCAATGGCAGAACCCCCATCTGCCAGCTGCACACCTATGTTCGAGTGAACAGCCATTTGCAAAAGCGAACAGTTTTCAGAAGGCTGAACGCCCTTGTGGTTTTGAATATTCCACACCCCGTGCCTTCCCGCTCTTACTTTTTCTGTGGTTTGCCAAAAAAGAGCACTGTTTCACGTATATACGCACACGCATGAGAAGGAGGGATATCCGACAACTGCTCTATCGCATGCATGCCTGGGTTCTTAAGCTACCTGCCTGTTCCAAGGTGCTAAGCTACCTACTGGTTCCACAGGTACTAAGCTACCTGCTGGTTCCACAAGTACTAAGCTACCTGCTGGTGCCACAGGTACTAGCTACCTGATGGTTCCACAGGTTGCCTAGCTACCTGCTGTTCCACAGGTACTAAGCTACCTGCTGGTGCCACAGGTACTAAGCTACCTGCTTTCCACAGTGTGCCTAGCTACCTGCTGGTTCCACAGGTACTAATCAACTTGCTGGTTCCACAGGTACTAAGCTACCTGGCTGGTTCCACAGGTTTACTAGCTACCTGCTGGTTCACAGCGTATAAAGCTACCTGCTGATGCCACAGGTGCCAAGCTACCTGCTCGCCGATGCAGCAGAGCCATGCAACTGTAACCAAAGCCATGCGCAAGATCTCACGTTGTTCGACTCTGAGTGTGACACGGTGTCAGCGAGTCGTTGCATGCTGGAACGTCTGCTGGCTCTGATTCATCTTTAACGCCAGCGTTTCGCGACACGTCTTTCGCTGACGATTCAGCTTCACGTCTTCTTCCTTTGTGATCGAAATAAGGATGTGTTTATCCACATGCACAATTTTCCGCGCAGGCAAGCGAGAGAGTAGTGAGAGAGAGAAAGAAAGGGAGAGAAGAGAAGAGAGAGAGAGAGAGATGAGAGAGATAGAGAGAGAGAGAGAGAGAGAGAGAGAAAGAGCAACGCGAGAAAGAGAGAGCGAAGAGAGCGAGAGAGAGAGAGAAAGAGAGAAGAGAGAAAAGAAAGAGAGAGAAAGAGAGGAGAGAGAGAGAGAGAAAAGAGGAGATGAGAGAGAGAGAGAAAAAGAGAGAGAGAAGAGAGAGAAAGAAAGAAAGAGAGAGAAAAGAGAGGAGAGAGAGAGAAAGAAAGAGAGAGAGAAGAGAGAGAGAGAGAAAGAGAGAGAGATGGAGAGAGAGAGAGAGAGAGACGAGGAAACGAGAGAGAGAGAGAGAGAGAGAGAGAGCGAGCGAGCGAGAGAGAAGAAGAGAGAGAGAGAAGAGAGAGAGAGAAGGAGAGAGAGAGAGAAGAGAGAGAGAGAGAGAGAGGAGAAAAGAGAGAGAGAGAGAGAGAGAAAGAAAAGAAAGAGAGAGAAAAGAGAGGGAGAGAGAGAGAAGAAAAGAGAGAGAGAGAGAGAGAAGAGAGAGAGAGAGATAGAGAGAGAAGAGAGAGAAGAAGAAGAGAGAGAGAGAGAGAGAGAGAGAGAGAGAAAAAGAGAGAGAGGAGAGCAGAGAGGAGCGAGCGAGCGAGAGAGAAGAGGAGAGAGAGAGAGAGAGAGAGAGAGAGAGAGAGAGAGAGAGAGAGAGAGAGAGAGAGAGTCGTCTGATCCGATTCACCTCGGTCTTCTTTTGTTCTGCGATCGACACAAACGTGTGTTTAGGATTAGATGAGATCATGGATTAGATGAGATCATGGATTAGATGAGATCATGGATTAGATGAGATCATGGATTAGATGAGATCATGGATTAATTGGATCATGGGTTAGATGAGATCATGGATTAATTGGATCATGGATGGATGAGACATGAATTAGATGAACTGGTGCATCGTTTCAGTCGCCGAAGCGGGAGGACGAGAGCGGCGAGGTGGCCGTAACCAACGAAGATGTTAAAGCTGTGGAGTCGCACCCTCCAGCAGACGCTCCGGTTTGCAACGATTCGGCCGCCGAGGTGGCGGCCGTGAAGCCTGAAAACGTGAGATATTAGCTGAGAAAAGGAAGAGGAGGAGGAGGGGGAGAAAGAGGAGGGGGAGGGTTTGTTAGAGGGTGTCTGTGCTACACACGCGGCTACCTGGCACTCGAATCTGCGGAGTGGGCTGCCAGCTAGCGAGAGAGTTTTGCACTACGGACCTTTTGTTTTAGCCTGTGAAGCACTGTGCACCGTGATCGGTCCTTTCTTTACCTCACCGTCCACCTCTGGTTGCTGTTTTCGTAGCATTGCACGCATTCTTTGGAGATGCACACTAACTTTGCTGTTGTTGTCGTTCTTTTTGCCTTTTCTTTTTGACTAACTCACTGGATTTCGTTCGCTTGCACAAGCTCGCACTTTGCAATCAACCTATCATGTTTTAAGCAAGTTGCACAGTGGCAGTGCACAAAAATGCACCGCAATCATATGCGTTGTACATTGAGGGTAGTTTGCATTGTATTTCCGCGCGTGTTTGCATTTATTTTCGATGTGCTTTGCATGAAGAACGTTTTTATTTAGATCTCCTTCAAAGATCAAACTTTCCACCTACTGCACAAAACGTATTTCGTGCTTAACTGTCTTTCTTGAACTGAAGTGGTCTTGCTCTCTATACATGATCTCAAGAGTAGATAATAACACATGTGTTATTATCTACTCTTGATGATCTGTAAGCACACAATATGTACTAAGGCAGCACAATCAATGGATGAAAAGTATAGTGGTTTGTATTTAAGTTCTATCTGCACAGTTTTACATGCACTTCTCACAAACCACTATATTATGCCTACGGTATGTCGTCCATTGTGTCTACTCACATTTTCTCTTATTCTACAAATTTATCGACCAAATATATCGTCCTTTGTAGCAAGATAAGAAGACGTTTGAAGAACATTCTTTGGTAGCCTTATCCTGCCCTTATATATATATATATATATCACGCATATATATATCACGGTGAATAATGACAAATTTGTCATCAATTTGTAATAACTTGTAATGATAATTTGCCATTATTCACCCCTATATATATATATATATATATATATATATATATATATATATATATATATATATATATATATATATATATATATATATATATACATACGGTATATGGTGTGTGTACATATATGACACTGTTTGTTAGGTTTTTGTCTGACCGTGTGATCTTACTGCATGTGTGTTGTGCTTGCACGTGTAGGAAGAGGAGAAGGAGAAGGTAGACGTAGGGGAGAGTCTGGAGGAGTCCATCACTGCTACACTGATGGCCACCAGTGTGAGTCTCCACCCTCTCTCTCTTTCTTTCTCTTTCTATCTCTCTCTCTCTCTCTCTCTTTCTCTCTCTCTCTTTCTTCTCTCTCTCTTTCTCTATCTATCTCTCTCTCTCTCTCTCCTTCTCTCTCACTCTCTCGCTTTCTCTTGCTTGCTGTCTCTCTTTCGGAGATCTCCTATTATGTACTCTTGATGTATATCAAGATGACATGATGACTCTTTATTATGTACTCTTGATGTATATCAAGATGACATGATGACTCTATATTATGTATTCTTGATGTATATGCGGCATGCTTGTGTTTAAAAAAATTATTGTGGGCACACACAGCACCTATATTACATTCTGTTGGATGTACCTTTGAGTTAAGAAGAAGCAAGAGGCAAAAAACTGCACGTATTTTATTTTTAAGCTCTTGGTTATCAGTAACAATCTTATACAAAATCTATAGCTTATGTTTTGGGAATTTGTATAGGCTTGAATGCGTGGTCGATATCGATTTAAAAACGAGCACTAAATTTTACAACATGTTTTCTGCAATGAACGATGCAAAACATAGAAACGAAATGTATATGTGAATTCCTTGTGTTTAAGTAACGTATTTCAGGGAAAACACGTATTTGATATTAATGATTTATTATTGATATTCGTGCGGAGATTTTGATAATTTTGAGCGGATGTCATAACGTCTGACTTCTACTGACAGCTAACTGATGATAAGAAAGCTGCTGATGACGATACGCCAGCAGAAGAGCAACAGGGAGCCGTGGTGAACGTTGCCATGACACCCGAGAACGCAGAGGTCGCAGTGAGCGTGAACCAAGTTGAACAGCCACCACAGATGGCAGCACCAACACAGGTATCTGCATGACATAAAATAAGTGACCTTTATTATATTAAAAACTATTAGGAGTCAAGTAATGTTATCAAAGAATGAAACTGGTTTTAGACCTCTATAGAAAGGAGTATATAATAGGGTGTGTCCTTGGAGTAAAAGATAGCAAGAAAAGATTTTGTGAAGCATAATATATATTGTTTTAATGTTTTTTTGGTGTATGGTATCTGATTATGCGTGGATTAAAGTCGTATCGCATTGTTTAGTAGCGATAAAGGAACAACTTTAGCTGGTGATCAATTTTAATGCACGCTGTCTTACGCAAATCTGTGAGAATAGTCCTCAACATGTGCAGAACACAGAGCAGGCTGCAGCAGCAGAGAATGTTAAGGAGGATGTGAAACCGCATGACGGAGTGAAGATGGATGTGTGGCAAGAGACGACAGAAGTGACGCACGGTGACACCCATCAGTCCACGCAGGTTCGTGGGATATCTTCCTGTAGTTATTCTGTGTCTCTCCAGTCACTCGCTGCAATAGTTGTCAGTTGATTGCTTAGATTATTAATTGTATTTTTAATAATTTTTTATATACTGTTAGGAAGCATGTATTTTATTGTAATGAGCTCCAAATAATACTTTTTGTTTAAATTATTATTGTTCATACGTGGTTTGTTATCCTGTCGTGAGATCGCATAATTCAACGTAGTGCAATAAACTAATTTGATTATGGATGATGGATAGTGGTATTGGTATTGATATTGATATTGGTATTGATATTGATATTGGTATATATGATGATGGATATTGACATTAAAAAAAGTAAATTTTTTGAAAAATCCTCGATTTTTCATCAGCACTCATCTTTGCTCAGGTGACGGAGACAACTTCTGTCATGAAGGCAGAGGAAGGTGTCAGCATGACACAGGAGACGAGGGAGGTCATCACGAAGGTCATCACCAACACAGAGGATCTCGGAGAGAAGGTCGCGGAGAAGGCAGAGGAGAAGGTCGAAGAGGTCACGCAGAAGGTCGATGATATCACGCAGAAGGTCGATGATGTCACGCAGAAGGTCGAAGAGGTCATGCAGAAGGTCGATGATGTCACGCAGAAGGTCGAAGAGGTCATGCAGAAGGTCGATGATGTCACGCAGAAGGTCGAAGAGGTCACGCAGAAGGTTGAAGATGTCACGCAGAAGAAGGTCGATGACGAATATGTTCCACCAGGAACGCTTTACACGGTGAGAGCGTTATCGCTGACCTATCACAACCCTCGCGTTCTCACACCGTAGCGCACGCACCGCGTATTACCAAACTCACAGGCTGACCGGTCAGGTCAGGTGGGCAGCGGTCAAGAGGCCGGGCGGAGAATCGATGAATGACATTCTGGTATCCCGGAGAGAGCATTATCGCTGAGTATTGCAACCGTTGCGTTCTCACACCACAGCACGTTAACAACTTTTGCTGGCTGACCTGTCCGATGGGCAGTGGTCAGTGTGGAGAATTGATGAATGACATTGTGGTATCCCCGTGATCATTGGAGCCAGAATATCAGAAAGGACTTGGTAATGCCCAAGGGGTTTTGCTGGGTGGGCCAACGTTGTCTCAGCGTTCAATCTCTCCAAGCTCTTCGTTGTATCGGTGCCACTTGTCAGTTGGCGTTGGGCCAATGTTGGGCCACCGACGTTGAACAATCGCGATAGACATGCTCATAAGACCTAGTTAGTTTCGCTGCGTGGCAGCGCCCATCAACAGGATTTCTTCTGAGGGAAAATTAGACAAAGGAGGTAATGGCCAGTTTGGGAAAAACGCGCATGATGGCTTCCAAGGCGTGCCATAGGCACACATGCGGACGCTGCAAGCGGACGCGGGGGGGGGGGTTCTGGGGGGTCTCCCCCAGCATGAGGGAAAATAGACAAATGAGGTAATGGCCAGTTTGGGGGAAAACGCGCATGATGGATTCAAAGGTGTGCCATAGGCACACATGCGGACGCTGCAAGCGGACGCGGGGGGGGGGGTTCTGGGGGGTCTCCCCCAGCAAAATTTAAAAAAATTTAATGTCGTAGACTACATTTGAGGCACCCTGAAAACGGCGGTGTTCAATTTGACACCGGCGGTGCGTGACTGTGTGTGCCTGTTATGTATAAGAAACCCTGCTCATGAGTCATGGACGTTTTAAAACATTTTTTTATTTTATTTTGCAATTTAAAATATTTACACAACATGAGATTTTTGTGCACTATTGCTGCGTTCACACGAGGAGTTTAGTTGCGTTCACACGCTAAAATATACGCGGCTTGCTTAGCCGCGATTGCTCCGGCTTGCTTAGCGCGGAATATGATTCCGCGCCAACTAAGCCGCGTATATTCGGCACCACCTGGCGCGTATGATTGTCGTGTGAACTAGACTGCTACCGTTCGCTGACGACGTAGGTAGCAGTGTGGAAACGTCGACCGCGGTACCAGTCTATTATTATACCGAGCTGCTAAGCCATCGAATTCGTGTATCTCGTGTGAAACGCATTTTAACCGCGACTTAGCCCAACTAAGTACGGCTACACAGCTAAGCGTGTATACGTGTGAACGCAGCTTACTGGACTACTAATAATTAGAGGGAAACACTTGCTGATGAGTCAGTTGGAACATTGCCCTGCATTGAACAGTGGTCGGCACGCACGACTACTTGGAGAAGCGATATCAATGAGCTGAACTTTTGTGAGATGGGAGCAGGACATCGATGTCGTCGAGTTCGAACAACCCAGAAGAACAGTAGTTAGTGAAGGAAGCGTGGTGCCTTGCGTGCGCACCGGCGTGCGCGGTGCGTCGTGTGACTTCCCGCTGCCGCGTGCGCGTGCGCGTCGTGCCGTGCGCGTGTGTCGAGCCGTCGTGGGCGCGTGTGAGTGCGCGTGTGAATGCGTGGCTGCGCGTGCTGCGGTGTGCGTGCGCGTGTGCGTGCGCGTGTCGTGCGCGTGTGGATGCGCGGCGTGCTGCTGACGCCGCGTCGTGAGTGCGCGTGTCGTAGCGTGCGCGTGCGCGTGTGATGCGCGTGCTGCATGTGCGGGCGGGCGCGTGGCCATGCGCGTGTTGCGTGCGCGGTGTGGAGCCGTGTGACTCGTGGCGTGTCGCAATGTTGCTGTGCGCCTGGAAGCGCGTCGTGCGTGTTGAGCGCGTGTGAGTGCGGTGTGCGCTGCGCGTGTGCGTGCGCGTGTGTGAGCCGCGTGTGAGTGCGCGTGTGAATGCGTTGCGTGCTGCGCGTGGGTGGCGTGCGCCGTGCGCCCGTATGGCGCGTGCGCGCTGTGCGTGCGCGGTAGCGCGTGAGTGCCGTGTGCGTGGCGTGCGGTGTCGTGAGCCGCGTGCCAGGTGCGCGTGGGCCATTGCGGCTGTGAGAGCCGTTTGAGCTGCGCGTGTACATGTGCGTGCGCGATCGTGTAAAGCTCGTGTGCGGTTCGCCGGTCGCGTGCGGCGTGCTGAGCGCGTGTGAAGTGCGGTGTGAATGCGTGTCGCGTGGTGCGTGCGCGTGCGCGTGTGGCCGTGCGCGCTGTGAGCGGGCGTCTGACGTGCGCGTGCGTGCGCGTGGGCGTGTGCGTGCGCGTGTGTGAGCGCGTGTGAGTGCGCCGTGTGGGAGCGCGTGTGAGTTCGCGTGTGCACTGTGCGGGTGCATTGGGTGTGCGTGTTAACGCGGTATGAGAGCGTGTGAGTCGCGTGTGTTGAGTGCCGCAGTGCTAGCATGCGCGTCGCTTGTGCGGGCGCCGTGTGCCGTGCGCGTGGCCACGGCGCGTGCGCATATCGTTGGCGCGTGTGCGTCGGGCGAGCGTTGTGCGTATGTGCGTGCCTTGTTCGCTGACTCCATCTTGCTCTGCTGCCCTGTTAAAACGTAGTGTTAAATCCTAGATAAGGATCCAAGATAGATCCAAAAAATCCCCCCCTAAAAAACCGCTACCGCTATCGCTAAATGCTACCGCTAGTAGATCCATAAATCATAGTGTAAAATCCTAGCAAGGTTAGATAAGGATATCTCTGTAGTCTCTTATCTGCTTTTGAGGATGTGCGAAACTTTTTCGCTTAGATATGACCAGGAGCTAGTGTAATATCAAAATTTACTAACACTAGGTAAAGATCGATCTAGTTAGATGTATTTTGAGAACTTAAAAGTAATTATATATATAAATAAATAAATAAATAAATATATATATATATATATATACGTGTGCGTGCGTGTGCGTGTGTGCGTGTGTGCGTGCGTGTGCGTGTGTGCGTGCATGCGTCGGTGCGTGCGTGTACGTGCATGCGTGTGTGCGTGCGTGGTGTGCGTGTGTTATTACAATACATTATAAAATATAATTGATACATGTAATATGTGATCAATTCCTGATATAATATAGTGTTATTTTACTTGTGCATACGCATGAATCATGCATCTTTCGTCAATTAATAGCAAAATGTGTGATATCCTGTTGCATCATCATAACAGCTCACTTTTAATGTGACATATATTTTCTTCTTTAATCTGTCAAAAGATTTCAAAGACGATCGTAAGTCCAAACATTTTATATCACAACTTTATGATGGCTTTTATTTCCTATGCTATTGTGACTTAGCCATTACTATATAGAACTACCTTTCTGTACAATAGAATGCCACTTTTCCCTGTCTAGACATTCTAGCCTTTTTTCTTTCAATGACAAGCTTTATATAAAAACCGTTTTTTTTTATGTCGTATAAGAAGCAAATATTGACAAATTATGGTTCACTGGTCTGCTTGATGTGTATCAATACAATTAATATAGAAAACCCATAATATACAAGGCGCGATTCTAACGCAACTATCTCTCTCATCCTATCAACTACCTGTAACCATTAGCAAGTTCATGTTTTTACAAGTGAGTTGCTAAATCAGTATCTGCATGACAAGACCTTTGTCGTATTATACCGATATCGTGTTTCCGAAAGTTTTACCACACCTTTATGACACGCTTCCTGGAATGCTGCTATTATTCAATCCAGATTATAAATATGTGTAATGGTGGACTTTCCATGTTTTCACATATTTGAATTTGGGGCAGAATTTTTTGCTTGGAATTTTTAAGCTTTTGCATGCGGTGCTTTTTGAGTGATGTGTGCACTCTTTTTTCTGATTGTTTCATGATCTCCAGAAAGAGGATAAGCAAACAAAACGTGTGTTGCAGGACGAAGGATGGCTGATGGGAGTCGTCAAGTCATCCCGGAAGAAAGGAGTCTTCCCCGAAAACTTCACCTCTAAGAAGGTGTAAGTGCTGACGATGCGTGGACGACGCCGGCGGAAGACACTGCTGGCGGCCCTGCATCTTGTAAAGAACTATCTTAACCTCTTGGAAACATGGAGAAGAGACACGAAGAAGCTCCTGCGTCCAGCTCATTTTTATCCACCTCCTGGTGTCTCTCAAGTGCAGAGAAGCCGTTTGAGTATTACCGTTGTAGACTGGTCCCTCTAGCCGTCTAAAATTGAGAGGCTGGTCTCTTCACTCTTGCCATGTGGCGACAGAAAGAGAGGTCTTGCATACCCCTGCCCCTCGCCACACCTCAGTATAGTGCAGCTATTTCGGGAGTCGACTAACCCCCTCCTCCCAACCAACCGCATATATATGTTGATATTTAACATTCTCATGCAGTTTTACAAGCCGCATAAGATTGATACGTAATTTGTGTAGTAATTAGATTAGGTATCGAAAGCCGTCCATGTTTACAGCACGACCAAATCGGACAGCACCGAAGCAGCGGCGAGGCTCTGTCCACAACTGTCGCACTGTGAGTCTGTGACTGTAATACTGCTGTCGAGCAATGATTGAGAAGATAACTTCAGCTATTATCGTTCTCTTGGTTCCTCTGACGTTCAGTCGCTGTTTGTGAAAGTGGTTGCATGCCTGGTCGACTTTCAGTACTTGATGGTCGTTCGAAATGATTCATTATTGCATACATATTGCTTTTATTGTGTTGACGATTTATAGACAAAGCTAAAGAATGAATTGTGTAGCAGATATTTTACGGTCAAATAATAGGATACCATGTAAACATGAAATTATAAGGATAATTTAGGGTGTAGAAAACTAAAGCAAACATATAGTGGTAATCGGGATATTGTAGGCAATATTTTAAAAGTAATATATTGGTCAGTTATCGTTTGATCGTTTACAATTGCAACTGATTAATACTGGTCGTACCAGCTAGCATAATTACACATCTGTCTTGAGAACTATTTCAGAAGTGTGTAAATGCATATTTATAATAAATACTTAGATTCGTGTGGTTTTGTTTTGTACAGAGGGCAGCATTGGTACAAACAAGAAAAATTAGAGCAGAGAATGTAAGTTCATTATTGATGAACGAATTGATCTTCCCTACAGTCGCGGTGAACGTTGTCTATAAAGTGATTAAATAATTAGTTATTAAATTGATTATTTCAAATCATGACGTAATGACGGATTCTCGTAAATTTCAGCCATATTGCTGTTATGTGTTCGGGTTTTTTAACGGGTTTTATTCTAAATCGAAATTGATCAGCTGGCAAATCTTTCACGAGACGAAGATGGAAATGGAGCGCAATTGAATAGGCGGATGTAAATGGCGAGGAAGCATACATGTTCTGCTCTACTCTTTCTTGCTCTCTTGTTGAGCATATTGTTTTGTGTGTAAATTTTTCCGGCAAGATATATGTGTCCGATGAACTGGAAATGAAAATAAGTGACTTATGAAATGCTGGCGTGGAGAGAAGTGTTGCACAGCCCAACCCGTGTCCGTTTTAGCCGTAGCTCTACCATCACAGCCATTCTCCCCCACACACCAGCTTGTGATGAGACGAACGGTTGTATATAGTAGAGATTCATTAACCTGGCTTGATCCTCCGTGGTTCCAGCATCTTAACATTGATGTACACACAGCAGCATAGACGGATGTCGTCCGCTTCTCTCTCTCTCACGCTTGCTTGCTAATGGTGACGTTCGATGCTGTGATTAGTCAGCCGTTAATCTTACAAGCGTTAATCTTACAAGCGTTAATCTTACAGGCGTTAATCTTACAAGCGTTAATCTTACAGCCGTTAATCTTGCAATCGTTAATCTTACAAGCCATGTCGTAGCGTGTGTGTAGCGATCGTTCGTGTGTCTGTACGCGTCAGCCGTCTTTCTATATATATATGCATATATATCATCATCATCTCCGTGGTTTTTCTAGTTGCTCGTTGTGTACTGCATATGTCCGTCCGTCTGTGTGCGTGCGTGCGCGCGTGCGTGCGTGCGCGCGTGCGTGCGTGCGACGAGGTGAACGCGTGCGCGCACCACGACCACCAGTGACACGTTGAGACAGAGCGCAGCCGCTTTTTGACAGGTTTACTTCAGACCACGTTGGGTTGTTCTTTGAGGCATGCATGCGTAGACGATAATATAGGTCAGTGGCTTTGTGTGTGTGCGCGTGTTCTCAGAAGATCTATGTGTTGTCAGTGTGTATAGATGGAAGCTGGTCCTCACCGTTTGTTTCCCACCCGCCTGCTGTCAGACCCGATGTTAACGATTGCTGTGCGTGGCGTCAGTCTATATGTGAAGTCGTTATCGGTGTGCTGATGGCATGAAATCAGGAGTGTCATGAAATCAGGAGTGTCATGATATAGATATATATATATATTATGACAAGAGCTAATAATATATTGTGTAATACATAATACATGTATTATTATCTCTCGATTATGATTATATTAAATGACACTATGATACTATAATTGTGACGTATCTATGTTATGACGCGCCTGATAAAATGACTTTCGGAGAAAGGGTTGTGAAGAAATGGTTTCAGTGAGTATCAATCTGTGTGGCAGGCGACTTTTCCGCGCTGCCCGCAGTTAGAGAGAGAGGGAGGACCTGCTTGTGTGTTGATGGATATACATGCAGCGAGTTCGCCACCAGACTAACCATGTCTTGTTGGAAGCTACGTTTTTATTTCAACTAGCGGTTTGTAGGTGTGAAGTGTATAAAAACGCGCTGGAGCTTGCTGTCCGTCCGTCTTAGGCGTGATTACTGAATGTCGGTGACCAAGTAACGCGTATGTGCAAGAGTTTTAATTGGCTATATCGCATTGGATCCGTATTGGAACAACGGGATTCGGTGGTGATTGCTTGTGGGGGTACTAAAGAGTTAGCAGCAGTAATGTATAGCAATTAAAATAGTGTTTATATAATTATAACGACGCGATATTCAGCGCTTAGCTAGCTTCTACATTTTGTTGCATGTTGTTGGTTTGCTTAGACGAGAGTGCATGGCCCTTTCCTCAAATCATGTTAACAGTTTTTAAGTAAGTATACACATATATATATCTATAGAGCACTCGCGTTGCTGGGGTCTAACAGGCGTAGTCTTTTTTTAATAGATAGATTTTAATCGAGGTGTGCTGTACAGTGTGTGTGCTATGAGCATTTATTGTGTTTTCGGAGTTTTTATCGTAGGGACCTGCTCTGTGTGAAAGCGTAGTGCGCTTGCAAACGTGCCCGCGTATATAAGCGTTACTTCTGACGTAGTGTTTGTTGGTGTTGCTGCCAGTTTTGAATCGTTCACGAGTTTTTATAAATATTAGGGAGAGGAAACAACGCGAACAGGTTTCTGGCATTCGATACGACAGTTTCGATATTGATTATTATTTCGATACGAATGATACAAGCGGTACATGCAAAAATTCGTACATAAAACTTTCATTTAAATTCATGTAACGCATTAGCATAAGTCGAGAAACATACTACCGGTTTCCGTGCTGGAAAGTATAGGTCACACGGATTTTAGAGGAATGTAAAACAGAATGGAACTAATAAACGCCCCTGCTGGATCCCATGCGCTGTTCGTGCGTATTTATCTTGCCAACGAACTCACATCACTTAGCTAACACTAGCACTGGCACTTGAAGCGTTTCAATAAAATATAATGCTAACTAAATACGAAATCTATTTACTACCAAATTCTTAATGTTT